TTAAAGACTATTTATAGAAATATTGTAAAATTAAGGAATGTTAGAAAAATGTTGGAATGAAAATATATGGCTTTAGCAGAAATGTCATAAGGAATTAAGGATAAATAGATCAATAGAAAATTAAAGGAAAAGTATGGCAAGAATGTGTTATGATAATTATAGAACAGAAAACAGAGTAAGATGGAAAGGAATTTCTGAAACAAATAATAGAAGTGGAATACAAAAAGGGAGGTGGGAGGAGGTCGCTGGAAATAAGTGAATGAAATATAAGATACTGAAAATGTTTGAGGTGTTTTTAAATTGTTTTTGCTTGTTTTTGTTTGTTTTGTTAGTCCATGTAGCATTTTTGTATTGTATTTGCATTGTTTTTTCTTTTTTTTCTTTTTTCTTTTTTTGTTTGTAATGTTGTGTTGGAAATGTTAAAAAAGTAATAAATATCATTAAAAAAAATAATGGAAATGGGATGCATGCATTAAATAAGGGAGTGCATACAGAAATGTCTATGGACACATTAGCAACTTAAATGCAATGAGCTCGTTTCCTTCCCCCTGCTGCGCTTCAAGTTACATATGCACATTGCTGTACACAAAAGAGAGGGAGCAGGGATGCCTCCACCTTGTGTACATTTGTTTTCCTCCTTGCTGCAACCTTATTTATAAAGCTGTCGTCTGTGCATGTACAATGCCTTTCTCAAATGCACACACTTAACTGCAAAGTGAATGCAGCTTGCATTTTCAAATCTGGTGGAAGCTGATTGGAGGGACAATGCTTCAAACAACAGTGTTTCCCAAAGAACTACAGAATAGGCAGAATATTGATAGATACAGGTACAGTGGTACCTCGGGTTAAGTACTTAATTCGTTCTGGAGGTCCGTTCTTAACCTGAAACTGTTCTTAACCTGAAGCACCGCTTTAGCTAATGGGGCCTCCTGCTGCCGCCGCGTCACCAAAGCACAATTTCTGTTCTCATTCTGAAGCAAAGTTCTTAACCTGAAGCACTATTTCTGGGTTAGCATAGTCTGTAACCTGAAGTGTATGTAACCTGAAGCGTATGTAACCTGAGGTACCACTGTATCTGGTTAGCTGCTGTGAGGACAGGATGCTGGACTTGATGGGCCGCTGGCCTAATTCATCAGACTCTTCTTAAGTTCTTATGTGGCTAACATCACAGGCACATGGCTTCAAACACCAGCAATGGGAGTGCACTGGAGCCGGAGTAAATGGTAATGTATACCCAAACCTGGAGTCACATCAAATATAAACCAGCTGCACTCTTTGTGCAAAGGCATATAAGAACCAGGAGCAGTTGGTTGGTTGGAACAGAGCTGGCCTCCTGCAGCAGTGTTGCTGCCACTTATCAGGAAGGTGTAGGTCAGGGAGGCAGAAAGTTTGGAGCAAAGACAGGCAGGCACTCAGGAGAATGCAGTCCAGCTCCACTGCTAGGAAGCCAATACCCTGACCCTGAGACCACCAGTTGCTCCTGATAAGAACATATATTTTAATTATTATTGCATTCCATTCTGATCTTCCTCCCAAGTTCTGATGGTGGCATACATGGAACTCTCCATTGTTATCTTCACAACAACCCTGTGAGGTAGGATAGGCTAAGAAATAGCCTGGGTGGAGTTTTGAATCTGGGTCTCCAGGCTAGGGCTGCCATATTTTGAAGAGCAAAAAAAGAGGACAAATTTGCCGACTTCTGCTTTAAACTCTCTGAGCACTCCCATTAAAAAGAGGTCATGTCCTGGCAAAAGAGGTCATATGGCAACATGTCTCCCTGTTCTGTAAAGCTAATGACTAGTGTAAACCTTCTCACATTAGTGCCTCACTTTGCATCAATCAGGACCCGCCAGGGAAGTTTGGATTATGTTTGTAGCTGCTCCATTTGTTGAGCTACCAAAGTGCATGTTGCAACATCTGTCTAGGCAGCTTAGGTCTCTCAGATGCTGGACTATCCCTACCCACCCGTGCTGGCCACTAGTTCCTCTGGGACAGGATGGATAACAATAGAGCTTCTTGATTATGCCTTGCTTGGATAACATGGCCTTCCTGAACTATGATATATTCAGTAATCTTGGCTTGCTCTTCAGTCCTTTGGTCCTTTTGGTTCAGCTTGCTCCAAAATCTTGCCTCCTGGATTTCTCCTTTGATCCTGATTTATTCTTTGGTTCTGACTGCTGGCATTGTCCCACAAAACCTGGTTTCCAACTCCACCTGGATGTCCATTGTACCCCTACTAATTTACTCCAGTTTTGTTATTTAGGGACACAGAAAAGAGAATGATGTTCCACATCAAACATGAAAAAGCTCATGCCAACACCTTTCCTCCTCCTGAGATTTCAATATGCATTGCCCACAAGCTTACAAGCAGTTGTAACACCTAGAAGTTTGCTTCTTTCCCTAATGGATCCCAGGCAAACGGAATCTTGTCCATTATTGCTATGTCCTGTTTGTATCTATGAACTCGGATCTCCAGCTGTTTTTGGACTACAATTCTCATGATCCCTGACCACTAGTCTTGCTAGCTACGGATGATGGGAGTTGTAGTCCCAAAAAACAGCTAGAGATCCAAGTTTGGGAAACCCTGGAATAGCCAGACCAACTGGCCTGACCATAGCCTGGACCTGCCTCCTTTCCTCTTTCTTATTTAGAAATGGACTCTGCTGAGAAGCAAGAATCTCTGCCTTCAGAATGGCTGCTAACATATAGAGTCTTTGCACCTGAGTGGGAAGCCCTGCTGCCCAAACCTCTCCTGTCACTGCATGAGGATATGCCAAATGGGATGAAAGTTAGACGGCAAATACATGCTGACAGCGCACCCGCTGCTTGGAATCTCCCTGCTCTTCTGAATTAGGCTGCCTGGCTTCTTTAGGTATGGAGAAAAATTCAGCGAGCTTATCGGCTCTGCAAACTCAGAATCACAGGGGCTAATTAGAATGAGGCAGCCGTTGGTTCCTCTTTATCAATGCCTTGTTGAAAAGCCCCAGAAAGAGAGCATTCTTTCCTGTAATGGGAAATTCTCTTGTTTAAGACACAACGTCGCCTCCAATAGCTTGGTGACATCTCCTTCCTCCTGCCTGGGTGTCCTAGGAAATGGATTTGTTCCGATATGATGAAGAGGAGAAATATAATGGATAACCGGTATTACCATGTATTCATGGGCTGGAGGACTTTTTGCACACTGAGGGCCACAGCCAGTGTGTTGTAGTGGTTAAGAGCGGTAGTCTCGTAATCTGGGGAACCAGGTTCGCGTCTCCGCTCCTCCACATGCAGCTGCTGGGTGACCTTGGGCCAGTCACACTTCTTTGAAGTCTCTCAGCCCCACTCACCTCACAGGGTGTTTGCTGTGGGGGAGGAAGGGAAAGGAGAATGTTAGCCACTTTGAGACTCCTTAAAGGGAGTGAAAGGCAGGATATCAAATCCAAACTCTTCTTCTTCTTCTTCTTCTTCGGCAACCTTCCAGGGGCCACATATCAGTAGTGGGTGCACATGGCAGTACACGGGGGGGGGGGGAGAATATTTTTCAGCCAATAGCCACCTTCCAGCTAAGGCAATTTTGGGGGGTCCACAGACCAGCAGTAGTGGGCATGGCAAAGGCATTGACTCTGACCTTTATACAATATTCCAGCCATGCAGAAGTTAGAGGTTTCTACACGTTCTTTTAGATCCCTAGCAAGCAGGGGGTGTTATCACAGTTTGAGGACACATTTCAGCCAGGCAAAGTTCCTGAGATGGGTACAGCACAGGTCCAATAAGGGGTGTGGCCTAGGAGAGGGGTGTGGCCTAGTCAGAGTTCCAGGGGCCAGATAGAGAGGCCTGGAGGCTGCACATAAATTTAAAGTACTAGGATGCCACTTTCAAAAGACCTGGCTTCACCCAAAGAATTTTGGAAGTTGTAGTTTGTTAAGTGTTCTGTGAGTTGTTAGGTGACCCCCCATTTTCCCCTCACAGAAGTACACTTCCCAGAGTTCCCTGGGAAGAGGGATTGACTGTTAAACCACTCTGGAGAAGTCTTAAGCGGGTAAGCAGAAGAGTTTATTTATTTCATTAATATCCAACCTTTGTCTCAGGGAAGAGTCAGACTCAGAAATTGAGCCAAGTGAGAGAGAGGCCAGCTGTACAGACGAAATCTGGCTGACAGAGCCAGGAAGGGAGGGCTCAAGCCCCCTTCAGAAAGAAGTCACATACATTCATAGCTCTCAAGAAGGGGGAGAGTTAGGAGGCAGTCAGAGGGTTGCTAGGCAACCAGCAGAGAGGCAGAGGATGGAGTGTGTGTCTAGTGGAAGCGGGGAGGGGGAAGTCCAACCTCTCAGCCCCTGTTCTCTGAGACTGGACAAGGTCAAAGTGCAAAGGAAGGGCAAGAGGGGAAGGGCAGAAATCTGGTGTCCTTCCTGCTGTGAGAGGGGCAGAGATTCAGACTGACCAACTCTTTCAATGAGAGCAGGCTGGAAGCAGCACTCTAGATGTGTCTTTTGTAAATAAAAGTACCATAAAACTGCCAGAGAGTCATTAATTCTTATTGAGGTTTGCTTGCCTGCCTGCGATCATTACACCAAGGACTACATGGTTCACCCCCTCCTCAGTTAATCCCTACAACGACCCTGTGAGGTTAAGAGACTGTGACTGGCCCAAGGTCACCCAGTGAGCTTCGTGACCAAGTGGGGATTTGAACCCTGATCTCCCAGTTCTGAGTATGACACTCTAACCACTACAGCACACTGGCTTCCTAGAGTACAATTGCTGTGGGGCAGTTATATAGATTAGGTAGGGCAATAATTATGGGGAAAGCAAAGAGAAGGATCTGAAATATTTTTCTTGAAGCTAGAATTTGTTTCATTCTGTACTGTTCATTTGATGTTTTAATGTGTTGTAAACCGCTTTGAGATTTTTTCTTTACAATATAATGTGGTATAGAAATACTAATCATCATCATCATCGCATCTCTATGACTGGCAACAACTCACCAGGGTTTCAAAGAGAGAGTCTCTTCCAACCCTACCTGGAGATACCAGGGATTGAACCTGGGACCTTCTGCATGCAAAGCAGATGCTCTACCACTGAGCTATGGCCCTTCCCCAATAACTCCAGATATGGTAGATCCAGAGCCTGCCTCTTTATTGTCAATGAGCACTAGGGGCAGAACTTGTAAGCACTTTCCTCCAGTGTCTCAATGCCAAGCGTTCAAGTCTGCAGTGCTTCACCTCCAGTGGCAACAACACTGCCTCACATTCAGAGACCTGGGCTTGTTTGCATAATAGTTTGATTGAGCTCCATCTTTTGCCCATTGACCTTTTTTTGACGTTTCCCTGCTTCTCCTCCTACGGGGGCCCTTCAAGCTCTAAAGTGGCATCTTCGGCTGAGCAAATTTGGCAACGTGTCAAGCGGACTTATTTGGGGATGTATTTACACGTGTCAAGTCTAGTACTCTCCGGGCAATTGAGCTTACTTCCTGCCTACATAAAAATGATTTCATTAACAGGATCTGTTGGCTTATTACCCACGTGCTGTCGGTTCGCAAGGCGTGATTCAAAACCAACAACAGCCTGGCCACTGGAACAGACAACAAAACCATGGAAGGCATGCCAGAAAGGGTGGGGGTGTCTGATTTCTGTAGCATGACTCAGCTTTCCATTGGTGAGCTTGGCATCTCATACACGCAAACAGAGAGGAGGAGAACAGAGGGACTAGGTGGAGCAGGTATTTATTTTATGGTTTATTTATTAGATTTATACAGTGCCCATCATAAGCTCTCAAGGTGGTTCACAGAATAAGAACAGGTAAATAATTAAAAATAAAGCAGCAAAACAATACCCCCCCCTTCCCACAGATACATTTAAATGCTGTAGAATAATAATCAGCCAAAGGCCTGGTTGAAGAGGATGTTTGAAGAAGTGCTCCGAGGGCCTTCTGGCGGTTCCCTCACTGCAAGATGTGAGGTTACAGGGAACCAAGCAGAGGAGGGCCTTCTCAATAGTGGCGCCTGCCCTGTGGAACTCCCTCCCACCAGATGTCAAGGAAATAAACAACTGTCTGACTTTCAGAAGACATCTGAAGGCAACCCTGTTTAGGGAAGTTTTTAATGTTTGGTGTTTTATCGTGTTTTTAATATTCGGTTGGGAGCTGTCCAGAGTGGCTGGGGAAACCTAGCCAGATGGGCGGGAAATAAATAAATAAATAAATAAATAAAATTTTGCCTGCTGCCTAAAAATATACAATGAAGGCACCAGGCAAACTTCCCTGGGGGGAGCATTCCACAAATGGGGTGCCACTCCAGAGAAGTTTATGCACACAAACCTTCACCTTCCATTACTGAGCGAGTCCTTTCCTTACTGCTGCTCCTGCTGATTTTTGTAGGGGTGGATGGTTCTATCAGTTTCAGTTATCTCAGTTTTTCATGACACTGAGCATCTGTTGCCCTCCTGTAAAGAAGTTCCAATCTGTTTTCCCCGTTAAAGCACAGCACCCAGAACTGGACAAATTGCATCCATCTGAAGTCATGGATAGGAAACCTGGAGCCCTCCTGATATTACTGGACGACAGCTCCTGTAATCCCTGACCATTGTCTATGCTGGCTGCAACTGATAGGAGTTTTAAGTCCAACAACATCTGGAAGGCCACCAGCTCTGTATCCCAGCTATATAAGTAATAAGCAAAGCCTCCATTATGACATTGTAAGATAAGAAACAGTGGAAATTGTGTTTGTGTTGCCAATTGCCGCTGACAGCATATTCTTAGTCACAAGGGACGTGGCTCGATTTGGTCAACGGTGGGTTATGTGAAAAATTCTTGGATTGCTTTCTCTCCACTTACCTTTTTATTTTATTTTAAGCTGAAACTAAGCAGGGGCAAAAACAATTGAGAAGGAGTAAATGAAATGAATCCAAAGTAACAATATGAAAGAAGTAATGAAATGAGCTCAGGTGAGCTGAACAGTTACAATCAAAGCAAAGTTCTCAGAGGAGCCTGAATGTTTGCAAGCCATTTTCATAGTCACTAATTTTCTTTCCCAAATGAGAAAGCTCTCCACTTTTCACATCTACATTAAGGCTCAAATGACACGCTACATGTAGTGCTGTGTTTTCTTTCCTCCATGGCTCTTTAAAGCCAAAAAATAAAATAAAAATAGGCCGGGCAAGCTGTGGACTGCTGAAAACAGGTACACGAGGACAGCCTAACCCTTTCCCAAAAGGACTTAAGATGAGCCTGCTGTATCAGGCCAATGGCCCATCTAGTCCAGCATCCTGTTCTTGCAGCTGCAAGCTGGACAGAAGTGTAGCACCACTCTGCTCACTTACGTATCTCTGTAACTGGTATTCAGAGGCATGGCACATCTAACTGTGGATAGCAATGGGTAGCAGCCATTGTTAGTTTTGCCCTCCATGAATATCGTTACAGGCTAAGGTTACTTTGATCAGGTACCTGTAACATGCATCACCACAATTATTTCTCCTGGTACAGTGGCCTGGGTTTAATAGAATTTCACATCTGGAGGATATGCCAAAGGAAGCAGGCATTGAAGAGAGCCTCTCCTCCTCCTAGAGGGGAGGAGTTGTGATCGGGAGCCGTTTCCCACCTTTAGCAGGGGGCGTTCTGGCCCCTGCTCTGTTGCCCCGGCTGCCGCGCCATGCCCCCTGGCAGCCATCCAATCTGGGGGAGGCTTGGGGCGGGTTTTAGCTGCTCAAAATGCGGCCGTGGCAGCGCTTCCTCCTCATTGCACTGCTGGTTTTCGTCAGATCACCCACCCGCCCTCCCTCTAGCTTATCACTTTTTCTTGACCTTGCTATGGACCTATGGTTGGTCGCCTTGGTTGTCCAAGGGTTCTGGTAGGAATTTTTATCCAATTGGCAAATTGGCACCAGCCACTTGGTTTTTCGCCATCTCATAGCAAATCGTCAGAACTTTTAGGTATTGGTGGTTAGGCATTGGAATATGTTTGTGTGTTGGGGGGCAGGGTGTGGCCATTGCCTACCCCTCCACATTATGGGTATTCTGTTAAAGGAATCTTGCGGTCGTGGATCCTGTCCGACACCCTTGCTGGTGGTAGGGCCATGACACGACCCCCGGTGACATCAGGGGGAGCTTACAGTTGTATTTGCATCATCAGGCTCCTCCTACTGGTGGTTAACCCTTGTTAGACTAACCCCTTCCTGAGGGGGTGGAGTCACGCTCCATTGTTGTATCCAATGCCTTAGCCAATACCTCTCACATGCTGTAATCAATAAAGTTGTGGACTTTTTTAGCCCATTAACCTAATATTCTGTCTCCATGTGTCTTTTATTATCCTCAAGCCGGTAGCAGGTCCTTGAATCACAAGTGTCCATTCCTATACTCAGCTCCAGTTTCAGCCACCAGGTGGACCAAATCCCAAAACTATCTTTTGCAGTGCCCACATTCATTTTACATCAAACCCTCTGTGTTGGCATTGTACCTACAGCACAATGTATTCTACCTCTGCGCAAATATCTATTTTTCTCCTTTCATCTATATTGCATTAGAACCTTGAGGTCTATCGCTGGGGAAGAGCGAGAGAGTGAGGTGCGGGGTGGGGAGAGAGAAATACAATTTTCTTATTGCACGAAACATTTCATTCCCAGTTGCTGTATTAAATTTATTCCTATTTGAAGTGGTTTCTGCTGGTATAAATCATTTAAGTCTGCATGTTTGTTGCTGCTGTTGCTGTGGCAACTGTTTGGCTAATTGAATTCCAAAGCATCTCCCTTGATTTCCAAGCAATGATAAAGGGCATGCATGTTCCTTCACGACAGGAGTCAGGATTGAAAGAGAGAGGCTAGAGCTTTCAGGGGAAATAGCATGTCTCCAATCTCCCGCATGACCTCTTAAAAATAACCAGTGACCTCTAGCAACCTCTGGGGCCTTTCAAAGGTCTTCATACTCTTTCCCCTCGCCATCTCTTCTTTCTTGATGTCTCTTCCTGTTGGCCTCCTCCTTCGTACATCCAAACTACACCCACCGTTTCCTGATAGCAACTTTTCTCTTTCTCTTGAATGGGTGGCTTCCAGACAGAGTTCCAGCTGACATTCATGAAGAACTTGCTGTTGGGGTTCTAGCATTTATCTTTCTCTTATCTTGCTTTGCTCCCGTGTATCTGGTGTGCTGCCAAATGCAGCAGTTCTTTCCAAGAATATCAGGACAAAAGGAATGAGGAGGTGTAAGGGGAACCAAAACAGTTTTATTAAAAAACAAACAAACAAACATACCGTATTTTTCGCTCTACAGGACGCACTTTTTCCCCTCGAAAAAAAAGGGGAAATGTGTGTGTATCCTATGGAGTGAATGCAGGCTCCTTGGTTTCAGTGATAGCAACACGAAGCCTCCAAAGCGCAGAGGGAGCACTCCCTCCACACTCCGGAGGCTTCGTGTTGCTTTCGCTGAAGCCTGGAGAGCGAGAGGGGTCGGTGCGCGCCGACCCCTCTCGTTCTCCAGGCTTCGGGTTCCTTTTGCTGAAGCCGGGAGAGCAAAACTCTCCTAGCTTCAGCGAAAGGAACCCGAAGCCTTTGAGGGCAGCACGAATTCTCGCTGCCCTCCAAAGACTTCAGGCAGCTATCCCTGAACTCTTTGGAGCACAGCGGGAACTCGCGCTGCGCTCCGAAGGCTTCAGGTCAGCAAAAGGAACCCGAAGCCTTTGGAGCGCAGCACAAGTTCCTGCTGTGCCCCAAAGGCTTCAGGTGGCTATCCCTGAAGCCTTTGGAGTGCAACATGAACTTGCGCTGCACTCCAAAGGCTTTGGGTTCCTTTTGCTGAAGCCGGGAGAGCAAGACTCTCCAGGCTTCAGCAGAGAGGGAGAGCTGTGCAGCGCCCTTTCAGCGAAGCGGGAGGAGAAATGGAAGGGGCTCCATTTTTCCTGCCGCTTCACTGAAGGGGCACTGAGCAGAGAGGGGGAGATTTTTTTTTCTTGTTCTCCCCCTCTAAAACAAGGTGCATCCTATGGTCGGGTGCATCCTATAGAGCGAAAAATACAGTACATACAAAGCATAACATAAAACATACCCAACAGGGGTCACCCAATCTCCCCTTCAGTTGCCCGGAGCCCCAGGTAGAGCAGCAGGAG